ATATCAGTATGTAGTGTCTCTACATGTCTCAAAAAGCTCTTTATTTTTCTCATACTGCTGCAGCACCTCTTTTCCCCCTCTGTCAGAAACCAGAGCCCAGTCTGCTCTGATTGGTTAGCTGGCTGCCTCTGTTGTGATTGGTCAACTGCTTAGATATGTCCCGCCCCTCAGCCTATCACGCACAATGTGTTGGAGTGCTAGCCAATAAAAGCATTAATGTTACAAAATGATATTATGTTACAAATTAATCACTGCAAGCTTTAATTTAAAATGAACAAATGAAGATATTCATTTGCATGTGTGAGAAGTTGTGTCCAAGGTAATAATAACACATATAGTACAAATAATGGTGAGAAATTAATAAACATAACACTAAGACATTAAACAATATGTAATTCTGCATCCTTTTACCATGATGTGATGATATATATTCATGTTCTAATATTGTTATTTTCATTGTGAAATTCATTTTGGCCATATCACCCATGTAAATGCATGTTTTAAAAGTCTTCATAGTATATTTGGTAATATGGGTGGAGACAAATAATGTATATTGGCATCTTCTTGTTGTCAGTGCATCTCAAACTACAACAGATGTGTAATTCACCTCATCTGACCCATGATATGGTGCAAGCCAGTCAGCTGACATTAAGACTCAGGAATAATGTATAACAGAGCCTCACTGCATCAGTACAACCACATGACATGTTTCAAAAGTGATTGAATCACCTTCATTATGAAGCATTAGTGGATGATTTGTTTCAAACAGAGATGTTCACTGAGGTAAGTGGCAGCCTCTACACTATATTTTACACTTGCCTCCAGCACTGAGCCACAGCAGCCTTGCCCACATATGCTGGCTGAGAACTCATGTGATATTTACTGTTCCCCAGTGCCTCGCCGCCCCACCGATTTACGAGACAAGCAAACACAACATCAGCACATGAGGTGGGAGCAGGGCCTACATATGTGTAACAAAAGCAGCATTGTGCAACACTGTTATAGCTCCATTAAACTGTCAGCAGTGGGGAAAGAGCAGGTCGAGCTTTGAAACATTCAGGACTGTCCTTGGGAAGCAAACTGCCTGCGCATCAACATGGACAGACTGTTCATAACTGACTGAAGATCATAAACAGTGCAAACGATTATATACACTTTATACTTGTTTTGCATTTTCAACCAGACAGCTGAGTTTTCTTTGATCTCTGACAGCTCTGCTGATTCAGCTACTGAACACTACAGCCAGGACTTTATCCAATTGAAAGCTTCACAACACAGAGAGATTCATAACGTTACCAAACCAGAGACACTGTCACATTAGTCACAACAGATATCTACAGTTAGGAAGGCACACTCATACAAAGCAGTGTTGGAAGAACTACTCAAATCCATTACTTTAGTTCAAGTACAAATAGTGTGGTCTGATAATACTTCACTTCAAGTAAAAGTCCTGATTTCAAAATGTTATTTAAGTAAAAGTACAAAAGTTTAGCATTAAATTGTACTTAAAGTACAAAAAGTAAAATGACTCATTCTGCACCATTGCCCATTTCAGATTATAAAAAAAGTACATAAGTATTATTATCTTATTGCACATCAAGTATCAAATGTAAAAGTACTTAAATGCAGAATATATTTTTCCACAGTGTTTTATTATCATGGTTATTATATTATCCTATTTGTATGTAATAGCATTTGTGTAGTAATCTTACCTCGATGTGGACCAAATGTAGTAGATTAGTAGTACAGTACTTATGAACTAGTAGTAGTGAATTAGTATATGATCAGCATATAATATGTTTTCATAACTGAGTGTGTACAAAATGTTAGTGGAGTAAGAAGTACAATATTTGCAATAGATGTGAAGTAAATTACAAATGTCAAAAATGGACTTAAGGACAATACTTGTAAAAGTAAATGTACTAAGTAACTTTCCACCACTGCCTAAACCTGCGTGCCAACATAGCGACAGAGTCTGAAAGCAAGGCTAAAGCATCATGCTTTAAAACCGAAAGTAGCCCTCAGCAGAAATGGTAACTGGAGCAGCTGCTCTGAAGCAGGACCTGCAGCAGGACCCACACACCTACACAGGCTCCAGAGCTGTCATGGTGTAACACAGTTTAGATCGAGACATGCATCACTATATTAAACATCAAAAGTGTACAGGGCGTTTCTCGATGGCATCTAGTATGAAGCCAAACAAACAGTAATACTGTGCAAAATGTGTAAGCACCACAAAACTTTCTTAAAAAGTTGGAAAACCCGCCTGTTGTCCCACTGTCATCTTCCATCAAAACACAGGCTACCAATGAATGCGTTAGGAAGCATTACGAAATAACTGTAAAACGTTATTACATTAAGAGCTGCTTCAAGAAAGATGTCCAGCCGAACTACCCTGAAATGTTACAATTACGTAAAATGCTGTAAATCATGTCGTATGTATTGACGACGATAAGCAAGATTGTTTTATTGTATTTAAGCAAAAGTGTTCCCTCCATAACCATGTGTGCGACATATCCAAATAGTCAGGCAACTTTCCATAATGCTGTTTTCAGAAGAAAAAAAGCACATAACAGAGACACAAAATACAGCTTTTTTGCTTTTTCACTCACCCAAACTGTTTGTGGAGGAATCCATAATCCGAAATTTAAATTGTGGAAGGTTTCTTCAGAGGGGAAGCCTGGACCGAGGTGTGTTTTCCATGCTGAGAGGAGTGTCAGCAGTCACACTCTGGGGACGAGTGTCAAACTCCCGGGGTAAGCAACAACAACACCGGAAACGGGGGCCGTTTTTCTGTAAAAAGAAAGGCTGTTGTTAGTTGAACCATACATAAATAAGAATAAATAACTAAATCACGTGAATATCAATTAATTACATAATTATGGTAAACAAAGTAACGAACTTACAACACAGGACGTCGTTTGTGGAAAGATTCAACTTGCCCTCCGGAAGTGGTGTAGCTCATTATAGCTAGCTTGATGCTATTCGCTTCAGGGCACCATGCAGAGATGAGTTATGGAAGTCAAAAGATGTATCAATGTTGCTTTTATAAGCTGTCTCCAACAGTCTTCAGTCTCCTTGTATGACGCAGTAAAGACAGTCTACCAGAAGTGTTAAAGAAGATAGGAGTTTTAAACTTACAACACACACTTCTGAGCGCCTGTCAAATCCAAGCTGTTTGTATGAAAGCTTTTTGGCGCCACCACGCGGCAGTGTCATGCATTGCACGCGCATCTCATTTATCACTGTAGAGCAGAAACTACGACTTGGTACGAATTTAAATGTAAATGTTGTGTTGGTTTAGCTTTCCACTTGTCCAATGTTTGATCAGAGGTGGAAGAATTACTCAGATTATTTATTTCCAATACTACACTGTACAAATACTCTGCTACAAGTAAAAGTCCTGTGTTCATCCCTTCAATGTTGCACTTTGTAAAAGTGGGGTTCAATCAGGGGCGCCGTAAGGGGGTAAACAGTTAGGACGATTCTAAGGGCCCGTGACTGACAGGGGCCCCAAAAAATGTAGAACATTACAAAAAAAGGTTTAAGTAACCTTTCATCAATCATCAATAATTAACATTAATATAATATTATATTGATAATGTACTCCTAAACTTACGATTCATTTAACTTATTTTTGTTCGAAAAGTTCATTATCCAAAGCCTCTGTACACCCCCCTCTATTTACATGTAATGGTTTGGTCCTGTCTCCAAACGCTGTGCGGCACCGCATTTTCTAGCAGAGTAAGAGCATGTGAGCAGGGATGCTAGTACTTACGTGTGTACGATGTCTTAACGACTAACAAAGTCAGGCTTTCAAAAAAGAAAAGAAAGGAGAGAAAGACAAGAGAGAGGGACTAAAGGGCGACAGTATGTCACCCAGTTTTGCTCTGATTTAGCACCACCATCAGGCCTTTTCATTTCCATTTCCGTTTTGTTGTCCATTTACACTTTAATACCCGCTTATTTTGTAGTTGGTATGTATATTTAATTAAAAAATCTTCTGCTTATGTTATTTTTTTATAGCATTTTATAAATGATAATATTGGTGTTAATGTTCACTTTATTTTAATTTAAGTGGTCATATTTAAGTTATATTTATTTTTGATTTATGAATGTTCCATTCAAAAATGTTATTAAAAAGGCATGTACACCATAAAAGATGACTATTGAGGTCTATTGTCAGGAATGTTAGTGTTATATCAAATAGTGAATTCTACTGCAGTAGAATGTTGCACGTCTGCACAGTGTTATATGTTTACCGCTCAGTGTCAGTAAATATTGTGCAGTTAGTATTGGACTACAAGATAGATGCAAGCCTGTTCAGGTAGAGTTATTTAAAGCATAAATTAGTCGGTTGGGTTCTGGAGGTGTGGTTACAGCATTGTGCTTGGTTGGCGTGGCCTGTGCCTGGTGGTGGGGCCCAATGTGATATATTTTCATGGGGCCCAAAATCCCTGGCGGCCCCCCTGGGTTCAATTGAATGACTAACTTAATTACTACATGGTGGCTTAACCTTTAATACGATATGATAATGTATTAGTTGATTTATATGTTGTATGCATAGCATACATCTGCAAAGTAACTAGTAACTTAATCTGTTAAATAAATGTAGTGGAGTAAAAAAAGTACAACATCTGCCAACAAACTGTAGTGGAGTAAACGTATAAAGTAGCATGAAACGAAAATGCTCAAGTAAGGTCAACCTAAATGTTTTACTTAAATACAATACTTGAGTATATGTACTTAGTTACACTACACCACTGTGTTGGATACATACATTATGTTAAAAAATCCATGTTTGCAAATGTTCATGTTTTCTTTTACAGAATTTGATAAATAAGTACAATATAATAACTTTCTATAACGAAAACAGGAGCCAAAACATCTTAAAGATAGCCCATTTTAGAGGAGTGTACAACACAGTGATAATAAGCGTTTCAGCTGTAAATCAGAGGTTACGGAACCTTTATTTGCCCATGTTTCTGTTGTCTGGGGGAAGCCATTGTGTGTAGGACCCGGATGTCCTGCCGGCTTTTCATCATGGAGGCTTCCAAGGAGAGGTATTTCTGAAGGAGACTGTTTGTTCGTACATCTGTCAATTGAAATGGTGGGTATTGAGCACGGGATTAAAAGCTTAAGACTAAATGTAGTTGTTGTTTAAAATATACCTCAGTCATGGATTGCTGAACCAAAAAATGCAAAATAACATGCTTGACATTTAGCCATTAACAGCTCCTATAACTGTGTATTCGAAACTTCAGAGACACATGTGTATTTTTAAGACACTACAAGAGTCCCTCTTCAGGTCGGGTATAATAAATGCATTATACACACTGTATTATATTCAGTGGTGTCGTGTAACTAAGTACATTTACTCAAGTTGTGTACTTAAGTAAAACATGTTGGTACTGGTACTTAATTTGAGTATTTTCAAATGATGCTGCTTATGCTTTTACTTCATTACATGTTGTTGTCATATGTTGTAGTATACTACAATAATACGTTGTATTTATAATATATCCTTTACTCTATATGTATGCATTCATGTGACTTGCATGTATTATTCTTTTTTTTTAAATGACGTTTGATCATGCAAGCATTGCAAAGTGTACTTTTTATGAAAGGGGACTTTTTCTTCATGTATTAGTGTTACTTGTGTGCTTATTTAGGTTATTAATTCGTAATATAAAACACACATTATTATAGTTTTAACTGCCCATTAGTGTATACATTTTAAATATCTGGGGCTTAAAATGGCCATTTTGAATAACGGGTGCTTTATAATGCTTATACTTTTTTATTTAAGTACAATTTTCCATGCAAGACTTTTACTTATAACTGAGTATTCGTACACTGCAGTATTGCTATTTCTACTTAAGTAAATAATCTGAGGACTTCTTCCACCTCTGATTGCTGATACACACCTAAATGCAAAGCGGTGCTGTGACACTATAGGAGTATAACAGTCTTACCAGAGTGCCTTGAATGCATGTTTTGAGAATAATTCAGCAGTTCTGAACACTGTCCATGTTTCTGCCCCGTTTGCAGTTCTGTTTCCTGAGAGTCAGTGTGATGGATCTACCATGAAGTGTGCTCGCTGCCTGCTCCAGCTGCAAGGTCTCCGGCTGCAGGGTCTCCAGCTGCAGGGTCTCCGGCTGCAGGGTCTCCAGGGACAGTCCGCCCGGTCTGCAGCCCAGCATGGAGCTCTGCTTCAGTCCTCCTCTCAGCCTCACATGCTTCGAAACACCCAGCACCAGGTACACTGTCATTTGATTCAGAATACTTTATTGTCCATCACATTTACATATAATAGAAATGTGTCTTTGGCACTGGCAAATAGGATAAAATAACACTCTACCATACACAGTACTACATACAATTCATATACTACACACAAAAAGAGTGAAATTGCATTGTAAAGTGACGGAGTGGCAGTCTTAATAAAAGTGCAAAGTGGTTTTGTTCTTGCACTGACTTGGGTCTATTAACATATCAGTTGTATTAAAAATACATAAAAATGAGGTGTTGGTGGCAGAAAGAAGGATCCTGGAGGCTTGAAAAGGGGGCTTGAGTTTGAGTCAAAGAGTCATCTCCACTCAAAGTATTCCATGAAGCAAGTAATCGCAGAAACATGTCTCTTTCCTCAACGATCTTCTGGATAAATGAATCTCACCAGTCAGCACTTATAACAAATTGTAGCAGCAAAATTATAAGACAATAAAACATGTACCTCAAAATTAAACTGCGGCTGTGACACCAGATAGCGAATCTCATGCAGGGAAAATTAGAAGTTCAGGCAAGAATATCGTTTTTGTGCATTTTATTCCGATGATCTAATATCATACAACACTATATAGTAATGAATGTTGCCCTGCAGACTTGACTATAGCTCACCTTGTGCTAACCCACAACATTTTCCATCTCCAATCCCACCACCATCTGTCTCCAATATATACATAATCACCGAAACCTTCCAAAATAAAAGCATAAAGACTTACTTTAATTAACAACAATAATAACACTAAATAATAATAAATGTAATATATACAATACAGCAAGGAAATAAATGTTTAACTATTAAATAATATAAATCACTGTATAGCTCCAACAATGTAATTCCAGCCAGCCTCTTTCTTGTTTCCGACTTATTGTAGGTGATAAGGCGTTTCCACAGGAGCCCGATAAATGACAAGAATCAACCCATCCCTGCAGAGTTCATCAACGAGGACGACAATAAAAAGGACAAGTCTCTGGTCATCCATGACGACCTGTTTGAGCAGGTTGCCAGGGAGACCAAAACCAAGGCCACGTTTAACAAAGTGATGGAGGTGTTCATCAAGCAGGACGTGAGGCGCCGCGGCCACGTGGAGTTCATCTACGCCGCTCTGCAGAAGATGCCGGAGTTCGGCGTGGAGAGAGACCTGGCCGTCTACAACAAGCTGCTGGACGTCTTCCCCAAAGAGGTGTTTGTGCCCAGGAACTTTATCCAGATCATGTTCAACCACTACCCCCGGCAGCAGGAGTGTGGAGTGCAGCTGCTGGAGCAGATGGAGGGCTATGGTGGGTGATGGGAGTCTGCACAGAGACACTTCCATGTGTCATACCAATGTGTCTGTCCATCTCAATAATAATAATGATTAACTTCATGTTTATAGCTCCTTTCAAATCATAGTTTGGTGTGCATCCTGAGAAGCATTCCCAACATGTGTTCTTCTACTGCAACATTTTGATTCTTCTCCCAAATTCATCATCGCAGAAATTCTGTTCAAACATCAAAACATTAAGCTCAATTAGGAATCGACGGTTATTACTCCCGACATTCATAGCTTTCATAATTCTGCATTCACACCGCAATGTCTTCAGGAAGTGCATCCTCTAGTTACAGCACAGAGAACAGAACACTGGTGAGAAGACACAGAGTGAAGTGAACTAAACAACACAGGGTAAAACAGATAGACACCACGTTTTCTGCACTAATGAGTTAAAGACTGAGACAGAGAACCAAGACTGTTCAACTTGACCTATGATAATGACTTCACTTTTATCAGCATTTAGCAACAGGAAATGTTGTGACATCTATTTGCGGATATCCTGCAGGTAGTTGAGGAGATAACCAGTGTTATGAGTGGATGCAGGGTCGAAGCTTAAATACATCTGGGTGTCATCTGCATAGAAATGCAAAGTGATGATGTGCTTACAGATGATGACATGATCAGTCTTTATGATTGTTTTTCAGGTATCATGCCCAACGTTGACACCAAAGTC